GTTTGAAACCAATGCAAAGCAATGGTGTATTCTGTATTTATGACATTTAGGGCTATTTTGGATATGATATTCATGTATATATATTGATGTGTTTCCTTTTAAGTCCTGTTTCTGTTTGTTGATCATCATCCCTCCAACCAGACGTTAAAGGCAAAGCTTACTATAGGTCGAGGAAAAAGAGAAACGTACGAGTTGTTACCTCCCCTCAAAATGCATATTTTACTAGCCCATTATTTACGCTTTGTGTACTATTTGAAAATTTAAAAGTACATGTCACACTGGTTTCTTTTTTCTTCTTCACCTCTCTTTTTTCTTGCAAGAAAGTGTGCGAATGTTTATACTTAAATTCTTTAACTGGAGCAACTGATGTGAACACAGATTGTTTCTGTAAACTTATATATAGAAAAAAGAAAGAAATTAAGATGTTCAGCTAATTTTCTTTCCTCCATACTTTTACAGACTTCAGTTATTCATTTGTTGCGGTTGAACTGCTATTATACAAATATCTCTCACACACCATTGGTAAAGTGTCAAAAGCTAATCAAGGAATTTTCCTTTTATTTTAAGGCGGCCTATTATCAAAAACAGAACTTCATGTACTGTGCGCTCACTCAAGGATCAATTGATTGATTGATTGGTTGATTTTTTTTTTTTGGGGGGGGGGGGTGGGGGGAGGGGGTGTTTGTGAGTATATCTGACTACAGTGGTCAATTTTCAAATGTATGCATTGAAGAAGCATTCAACACAATTTCCTTTCGTAAAACAACTATCTTTGACCAACACCTAATTACCTTTCACTCCTTTCTGTAACACTGATTCTGATTCTGAGATCGAGGAAAAATTGGAAAGAGAGAAAGAGAGAGCGAGAGAGAGAGAGAGAGACGGATAGATGAAGTAGAGGTGTACCCACACATGAGGTATGTATGTGGAGAAAAGATGGATAGAATATGGAGGAGAAAGTAGATCAGAAAGAGAGAGAAAAGGAAGGGTACATCAGAGTGATGGATTTGAGAAAGACTAGTATAGGAGACGGACAAGGAGACAAAGAGAGATGGAAGAAAAGTAGATGGGAGGCAGTGTATTTAATGGAAAACAACACACATACAGGGAGAACAAACGAAAACAAAAACAAAGAAGAAAGAGAGGGAGAGACAGAAGAAAAGAAAGCAGAACTAGGAATAGAAAGACAGCTTGTAGCGGCCGGGAAGAAAAGGCAAAACAGGATTAAATTATCAGTCCATGTAATCTGTCATCCCATGATGATATATTCAAACATTGTGTTAGGTTGAAATGTACCCATTTTTAAAATAATGAATATTAAAGATCAGTGAAATTTTTCGCAAAAACTGATTAAAAGAAAGTTGAGATATTTTTGAAGTTGCAATAAATCAACACAAATTGGCAACTCTGTAACGTATCTTGCGTTTTAATTGCTTTTATTACTATATTTGTAAGAGTAAAGGACGGTAACCACTATTCTTCCTTTATCTCCGTCCGTTTCTCTCTTTCTCTTCCTGTTTCTCTGTCAACTACCAAAGGAATTTCAGTGTCAATCAACAATACCGTATGCATGCAACGAAATAATGTACATTTAGTTTACAGCGTATACATAATAACTATAACTGTTTTCTAATTAAAAAGACAAATAAGGAAGATACAACATACACAAGTTAAGACATGTGTATAAGATACTTTACAAAACTGTGTACAAAAAAAAGGCTAGCGACCTGGAGTGTGTATCTAATTAGTCGCCCCATTTTACCCATAAGAACTGACTTTCTTTCTTCAACAAAAACATAAAGTAATAACATTTCCATCGCGATGCATAATAACAGATTTACAAAAAAAAAGTGGGGGGGGGGGGTGGGGGAGAAATTCTTCCCGAAGCCAGATCATTTATGCATGGACTTTTTGTTTAATGTCATCTACTTTATATCATTATGGGGGTCATTTCTTTATGATGGGGAAACATTCAAATGTTGTTTTCTCCAGTTTCATCCCTTGGGTTTGCCATGCATGTCTACTAGCAAGACCAGAGGTAGATTTTTACTATTGTCAACATGTCTGAAGCGGTAATTATTTTGAAAAAGACAATTTACATGATATATTTGAAGTAAAATCACCGATTATGACAGAATTGCTATAAAAAAAATGTTACAAATATATCATAATACTCTTACATTCTACAGGATGTGTGGTCGATTGTTCTTCTCTACATCATAGCAGACTAATCTTTCATATTCAGTCCCCTGAGCATTCAATGTTTCCAGACAGGGTGCAAACTGAATACAAAGGAATTTTTTAATGGAATGCAGTTCTATTTAGACCATGGTCCTGTAAGGCTTTAAGATAAATTTGGTTTGACGAATTAGTCAAGTTCATTGTAGCATAACTACGAAGTGTAAAGTTATATTTTGAAATGAAAGCTTGAAAAGTTAATACTATGGGGCCTTAATAACAAAGTCAGTATTAATTGTTACCTCATTTAAATATACAAAACAATCACAATAACAATTAAGAAACATAAAACCAAACAAAATAAACGTTTAAATACTTTGAGAATAACAACATAGGGAAAATAACACTAATAAGAAGTTAATCAATATTTTATCAATTTTCAAGTTAAACATATTAATATGATATCATATCACATTATCACTTGCTCTTATTGTTTGGTGTAGGAACTAGTCTTCCAGAAGTCCTGGACCTCAAGAACAGTACTAGGCAGTTCTGGCTGGGCTGCCAAGGCATGAATCGTCAGAGCGTTGTAGATGTCTGATTATAATGGTCAAAGAGAAATAGAGCAAAGACTGGGCCACTATAAAGGTATGAATTGTTAGAGCAAGTAGATGTCTGATTGTAATCAGTCAAAAGTAAATAGAGCAAAGATGGGGCCACTACGGTATGAATCGTAAGAGCGTTGTAGATGTCTGATTGTAATGGTCAAAGGGAAATAGAGCAAAGACTGGGCCACTAAGGTATGAATCAAAAGAACAAATAGATGTCTGATTATTCGATCAAAGGGAAATACATGTAGAGCAAAGACTAGACCGCTACGGAATGAATCGTTAGAGCAAATAGATGCCTGATTATAATAGTCACATGGAAATAAAGCGAAGACTGGGTCCCTAAAGAGTGATACATTAGAGCAAGTAGATGTCTGATTGTAATGGTCAAAGAGAAATAGAGCAAAGACTGAGCCACTAAGGTATGAATCATAAGAACAAGTAGATGTCTGACCATAAGAGTCACATGTAAATAGAGCAAAGACGGGGCCGATGAGGTATGAATCGTTAGACCAAGTAGATGTCTCATTATAATCATAGTCAAAGGGAAACAGAGCAAAGACTGGGCCCCTAAAGAATGAATCGTTAGAGCAAGTAGATTCCGATTGTAACAGTCATATGGAAATAGAGCAAAGACTGGGCCGCTAAGGTATGACTCATAAGAGCAAGTAGATGTCTGATTATAATAGTCAAAAGGAAAGAGACCAAAGACTAGGCCACCACACCATGAATCATGATTTGCTTCTAAGTAGCATTACATTTTTGGGATAAAATTGTAGGAAAAGAGATAAGAGAAAATTGATACCAGACGTTTATTTTGTTTTGTGCTTTGAGACATACACTTACAAATGAAATATCAATACACAAAATTAAAGCAACGAATACTGGCTTACTAAAGAGATTCATCTTGCACTCATTAGAGTAAATCGCAAAAACGATGAGCCAAGACGAAAAAGTTTCAACTGTGTGTCTGTAGTCGTTGTTATTCTTTGATTTTGCCGTAACAATCATCTGTTAAAACATTAAAGAGAAACCAATTACACAAGGAAAGAAATATATAGTTCGTGTATATTTTACATATTACATATTATTTCGAAAGAGGGACGTTATTATCATATTGGATAATGTCAACCGTACACAGGCAACTAAAATCTATCTAGAGTATGGACATCTCCTCATTCTTTTAGTTATCACATAATAAACATTATAATATGACACATTATAGGCCCATATTTAAGTAGAGCTGGAGCAGAGAGGTATTACACACCACCAACAATGGTAATAGATCAGTGTGACATGGATTACAGTGATACCTTGATAAAATACAACTCCTTGTCACAAGCAAACGCGAGCATGTTTGGAGAGAGGGAAACCAAGTAACACCAATCAAATCTAAGCTTCAGAATAAGTACCTTGAACTCAACTCTCTCTTTCAGGTTCAAACCATCGAGGCCATAGAGCCTGATCACCACGTTATCATTCTTACGATCTACACTCGCTACATACACCCTGTCCTGCTCATCTACGGCAGCAAACAGGTAGACGCCGTATGGAGCTTGGAGCGACTTACCAGCATTCCCCTCCCTGTCATAGACCGTCACCACGCTAGGATTGATGTGACATGAACCCGTGACGATCAAACCCGACCTGGTAGAAGATACCTGGCTCGTAGCGTTGTGTTTTGTTGGAACAGTGTATTTGAGAGTGGATCCAGTCGGGTCATAGATATAGACTTGCTTATTAAAGTTAGCGATGAGGATTTCATCTGATAGACTTCTGTTTAATTTGATAAAGGTACTGCCTTTCACATGGATGGTTGATTTCCTGGATCCATTGGGAGAATATATGTGTGCTATACTGGCACCCGTCGTTATGCATAACGACCTATCATTTTGAAACACAAGATCATAACACACCATGTTACTTGGTATGTTTGCATACTGCTCTTGTTTACCAACTGAATCAATGATATCTATACCAGGTGTACCATTATATCCGATAGCTACACTATCGTCAGAGTACGGGGTCATACCATACATCTGTCCCCGTAGATCTACACGCAGAATGACGTGCAACTTCGGATCTGATTCTGAGATGCTCCCGAGGTAAAGACGAGTATCATCTGTAGACTTGAACGTCTTCTCTTGTGCTTTCTTCGTAATGGCTGCCGCAGAAGTGCGATCAGTAGCCTTCTTCAGCATGGCATCCAGCTCCTCACAAAGCAAGGTATGAGCAGACAGGACTGTCTGTCTCAAGACGACCCAGTCTGTCATTAGCTACCAGTGTCATTGAACTACAAATAATCTTGATCCTCTTTCGATCGTTGGATTTCAAGACGTTGAGGTCGTCATCGAAACTCCGCTTTACTGCATTGATGCGCTCGATGAGATTTCGATGATTGTCTTCAAGCTTTTTGGCCTTGATGTTGTAGGCTTGACCGACATCGCCCAGTAATCTCTGCACGGCAATGTATACTTCATGGCGTTGTACTTCCACATTCTGAATGTTTTTCTCCAGTTCTGATTTCTTAGTGGCACAACGCTGGACAAGGTCGTTTACCTAAATAAAACAAACAAGAGAGAAATAAAAAGAACATTTTGTAGAATGAGATGTATGCCAATTTCAGTCATGAAGCTGGTTTGAAAAATTAAACACCGGACTATGCGCGCTCATAATCAGTGTTTCAGAAAAGTTAAAACCACGATCCACCCCCATTATATATAATACGAGGACAGAGGAATTGAATACTTTTTTCCTGAGTTTGTAAAAAGCAATCCAAACCTTGAAATAAGTCATTTTTATGAATGCAGTAAAACTATAAAAATATAATAATCATAATGATAATAATACATAATTTATTAATAGTAATAATAAAAGCAAAATAATGATAATACGAAGGATATTGTGATGATGATGATGAACATTTTCATTAACATTATTCCTACAGTCATTATCAATATTACATTTTTTCTTCTCCCTTTTATTATCATTTCCATGCAAAGTGCTTACAAAAGATAAAAAAATGCTAACGGCCCTTTTGCACAAAAAACAAATAATAAAAGGTTCACTAATATCTTACATGTATCTATATTGTAATTTTCGTAGATTTCGTTTTTCAGTTCCTAAAAATGGGTAGCTACGGAGTTATCTGGATGTCCACGAAAAATCCTAGCCTACTTCAAAATAATGATTTGTACATATATCAACCTTGCAGTTAACCCTTGGACCTCGTACCGTTACAGAATATGGCGATCGAGCTTTCTCAGTTAATGCCCCTATCCTTTGAAATTTTCATAATATTCATTATCTTGACCAATTTAAGTCCTTGCTGAAAACGCACCTTTTTAATTTATGAATGATATTCTGCAGTTGTGAGTCGGTCAAAGGAGGTGCACATCGTCTTATTTCTTGTTGGTTCGATCTTATGTTTGATCCTATATTTGGCCTTATGTATGTTTGATCTCACTCTTATTTTTATTATTATATACTGTATGCATGATTTATTGAATAAAGAACAGATGTATAAGTTGTGTGTTTATTATAAGTTTTGGTAAATAATTTTTTAGTCAGACTATGGTGCGCTTAGAGACACCTGTATTAAGCGCCTAATAAATATTGACTATTTGTGTTTTTGGGGCCGCCTCCTATTTTTTTTTGTTGATTTTTGTTGATTTATTTTTGTTGTTGAATTTTTGTTGAATTTTTTTGTTGAATTTTTTTTTTTTAAAGAAAAAAAACATGAAAAACACTGCCAAAATGGATCTATTTCTGATTTAAAAAAAAAAAAAAAAAAGTCGGCCGCCATCTTGAAAAATAGCCCGAATGTCAGGGAAAATGTACCGAGCGGCCATTTTGAGCGGCCATTTTGAAAGAAAAAAAAAGAAAAAAAAAGGGCCTCCTCCTTCCTATTTTTCGAAAAAACAGGACGCTAAACATGTTTTTTTTTTAAATTTGGCCTTATTATTATTATTATTATTATTATATGAAAGCACCAGAAAGAGCTTCATGTCTTGTGAGAGAATGTGACGAAAGTGTAGTCCCACCTCTTTACTACAGAGAAGCATTGGTTTTCTCGTTCTGTCCACTTGAAGACCATATACAGTTGACAAGGCTTGTACAATGATAAGACTCATTCGAGCTATTCAAATGCGAGGAAGCCTAGTGACCGCGAGGAAAACGAAAGCGTTTAAAAAAGTCGAAACCGTATTTTAGAGCACTTAAAAGCTTTTCTATTCTGTAATAATATTAAATGTAATGAGCTATTGTCTAGCTCGCTGGTGGGGCCTTTGCCTGCTCCCCCTTTATGGGGCCATGGCGTAGAGCATTCTGTAATTGTGTAGCTACATCAGAATACTAAACATTCTTATACATCATAGCTAGTTCATGCCATTTCATTGATTGTTCCTTTCTCTTACGAGGAGCTACATTGAGGGAGTCTATATCGATTACTGAAAACATGTATTTTTTAATCTATTCAGAACTTTTAAAAACTAATAGATATACGGCGAAATTAATTTAGCTGCCACCTTGATAGAATTTGTTGTTACTTGCCTCTCCGATTTGATGCTTGTGGAAGAAAAGGTACATCTATTAATGTACGAGGAAGCGTAGCGACAGAGAGAAAATGTTAGAATTTGGAACGGTGGCACTTTCTTAGAACCTCTTTTTAATGGTATACTGCAAAATTAACGATGTCAAACGTTTTTTTCCGGCAAGAGTGCGCCCCTCCCCGCTTCTGGCGCCTATGGTACCCTAAATGAAACCAAGTTTACCTTAAGCCGTAACTCCTGCTCAAAATCTGCCTGATTCTTGATTTTGTGAATTTGATGACCGACGATCACGCACTTGAAACAGACGTGGACCTTACAATCCTCACAAAACATATCTTTGTTCTCTTGTTTGTGGATGCAGCACTTCTCAGATAGATGACCGATGCTGACCTTCCCGTTGATGATATCCTGCATGGAAACAATCTCGTGACCTTCAAAGACGACTGTCAGATTTTGATGACAATCCAGACACTTTTCACACATGTAGTTATTACACGTTCTGCAGAATGAGACAGCATCTCGCTGAAACTTGCATGCAGTGCATTTTGGACGCATCTCAAGGACAGCATTCATCCCTCCACACTTGGCGTGGAAATCGTCTACGAGTCCGCTGACCGTCACATTGGTGAGGAAATCATCGACACGGTTCGCAGACAACTTGGTTAAATTCCTGCAGAGAGGACAGATCATGTGATCAAGGTCCTGATGGGACAGGTCATAGTTCTTGAGACATTTCCGACAGAAGGTGTGTCCGCATGAAGTCAGGATTGTTGCTTCGTCGAAGATATCAAGACATAGTGGACACGTCAGGTTCTCTGAAGAGTTTGGAACTTTCTCTTCCTCAGTCTTCTCAGCCATTTGTACAAATATCGGATTTCTGGCTATTACTATAAACACGAGCTGTACAAATATATCCAATGTCCAATAAAGCGTAACAGCGTGATCAGCTAATGTGTAATAAAAGCCAACAGTCAATTCATGCAAGCACAACAAATATGCAGTGAAGTACTAGATTGTACCATGGACCTACCATAATTGTACGAATATCTTGTTTGTACGATACAAGTGTGTCCTAACTGCATGCAGTTCTGTACCAATTTCTCACGTTGATTACAAATATGGAACTTTGACCCAAAGTACTGAGTCTCTGAGTATTCAAATGTATACAGCAATATAAATGTGATTACAATGCTAAACTCACACGAGATTGCCTATACAAAAATACAGTTTGTGCATCCTACAAATAAAATTGGGTTTTCCCACATAGAGTGCGCTATGAAGCACCTTTGAACTTAATGGCGGTGTTCATCTTTTATAGAGGGCGATTTTTTGAACTCTTTAGTTGTGGATATAGAGCCCTAGGTAAAAGAGCAAGACATTTTATTTGCTTTTATCATTTTGTTTGGAAGGATAAATGATGGTAACCACACATTTCACCCCTTCTTCTACTACTCTTCCTTAATCTCCTTCCATTTCTCTCATTCTCTTACCTTTCACTGCCAAAATTTCTCTTAACTTTTATACGTATGGAATCGTACGAGGCTACACTTATTACAATGCAACATTAGCCTAAAAAAATATTTCACCACTTCCTCTCTTATACAAAATGAGTCATAATTTAGGTTCATAACCATACTAATGTGAATTGTGTCTGTACAAGAGCTGATAATGAGAAAATAATATCATGTAAGCCATATTGCACGGAAATATGATTCATTTGAAATAACAATGTATCAAATGTAATCATAAGAGTTCTGTTTGTGAAACTGCTTTTTAAGATAACAAACATTTTCATTGTAAAGTGAATGGGTTGTTTTGGACCAGCAAAATAGCAGAAAAAGTCTGAAACGGTGCTGGTATCATATATATGTGTCCAAGGGTTGGCACTGGTTGTGTTTTTCAGCAAGATTGATATTAGACCTATAGTGTTATCATTTTAATGATCTCCAAATCTCACAAAAGGCCTACACAATTTGGCCTAAACAAATCTCCTTTATACTGCATAATCAACATTTGTCGAAAACGTTACAGATAGTTTCCAATCGCTTCTGGACAGTTTCTCTCGTACATGTCACGCAGTTACATTTAAATGACCAGCAATCTTCTTTATCTGTATTGGTTTCAAAAGTTTAGTGGTTCTGTTTGGATTAGTTCAGGTCATGATCAACAGGATAACAGTAATCTTCTGTAATTTCTGTAGATTCGGTGCTAATCAACATAAATATTTATGAATCTATATTTGATTTGCACAGGATGCTGATGAAAGCATTATGTATCATGTATGTGTGTATGTTTAGTTCATTTGTAGTGGTATTAAAGTGTTATATGTGTATTTGTATAAATGGCCATTAGCCAAATTGCTAATTCACCCTTCATTTATTTCCAAATTTAAGTTACAATTACAATAGGTTGAGGGAGAATTACAAAGCGCGATGGGTTTGTCTGTCAGTTAACTTGAGTGCAACATTGCCCATTTTCATTCTCGGTACAGCCAGTAATCATTTTTTTTTTTTTTTTTTTTACAGATAAAGCATTACTTATTTTCATTCCAAGCCATATACAGTTGCAATGTGCAAAAAAACCGGGAAATCATTATGATCATTTGTTTCATCAATGCTTGAATGTTGTTTAATTAATGTGTCCATATATTTCTACCGTTAGACCCAAGTTCACTCTATTTTATTCATGCATGTGAAGCATATTAATTTCTAATAATGATGAACACATTGGAAGGTCACAGCGATTAGTCAAAATAATGTTCTGGTAGTATCTTTGAAGCAACGACTTGTCTGTTTACCTGATTATATATATCAAGTTATTGTTTCGTTTTTATCCTTGACGAGCACAGTATTTCAGTAATTTATTGTTCATTTGTTTTGGACTTTTAGTCAACTTCAATGAACACAGCTGCTTATAAATTCTATTTCGACGAAAATCATCGTGAATTTCAGCGTCCATTACTAAAAAAAAACACATACGCGCAACGGATTGCCAACCATTCAACTTGACTCGTTCAAGAGGTGAAGCCCGTGATCGGAGCGAGGTTCGGGGGGGGGGGGGGGGGGGGGGTGTCGTGTTTAATCCTATACTTCTGACACACGTCGACATTTCATTTTCTAAGCTTGTAACAGGAGGTGAAAGTGTAGGAATTCCTTTTTCAGCTTATACATGTCTCGCCTTGGAACTACCTTGTCGTCAAACTATGTAAAAAAATAAATTTTAATTTCATTGAAGTTAGTCAAAAACATGTCAATTTACTGGAAAAAAAACCCTGGACATTTCAATTTCTCAGCATGTTACATGATGTGAAAGTGTATTAATTTCTCTTTTAGCCCATATGCTTTGTGTTTATATGATATTTTTCTCCAACTTTGGCTTTAATGATACTTTGATTGCATTTATTCATAAACGCTTCAACGAGCAACAGTGTCAGATTTTGTCAAACGTGATCATCGTATAATTAGATAGCAAATGACTTTAATTTATAAAAAGCAAGAAATTATATAAGGAATTATAAGCTTATTCAATGTTCACAATAATTGTTTGATTTTGAGTTTCGTTTTTATTATGGACGCATTGTATTTTGTGAAGCATTGGAACACTTTTAGAAAGTTATTGGATGAATTACCAAACATTTTCAGTACAATTTGCAAAATTTTAGTAGAAAACATGTGTTTTGCTGCATTTGTAATCATATCCGGACCACGAATCGACATTTAAGTGTGTGGCCATGACCGATTAAAGTGGTAATTTATTACAGATTTCATATTAGATGCTGCTTGTAAGTATCGGCTTGCATGGTGATGTAGATAGTAGGCTTGCGGGTGCACCATGTGAGAGAGAGGGACGTTTGAGGAGTCCTGAAACGGACTCTCGGTAATCTTTCTTGAGGGTGTTTAGTCCTGAAAAGGACTGTTGGTTATCTTTCTTAGCGTATAGTTCTAAGGAGAACGTCAGGAGACTCTCCTCCTGACGACAGATAGTCAACCTGTTTCAAACGTCGAGCCACTCCCGCCATCCATCCTCTCCAACCGGCGCTATAGTTCTCCTTAGAACTATAACCTAGGAAAGATAACCAACAGTTTGTTTTCCAATCCTCCTCAATCCTCCCTCTTTATCACATGGTGCAACCGCAAGCGTACTGTATGTATAATTTCATATTATTACGCCATTTTACGAATCTCTTTCTTAGCAGGGAGATAAACTCACATCTCCCTGGTCTTAGGTTTCATACCATAAACGACCCTTTAACGTCGTAGTGTTCGTTCGCTCTCTCTCTCTCTCTCTCCCTCTCTCTCTCTTTCTTTCTCTCTGTATTTGGATCGTATTCCTATAGAAATATTAGGGACTTTTAGATTCTGCACGACGAGAACGTGGACTGCCCTTTTAAGGCAATGCGACGTCACTGCAAGTGCCTTAAAAGAACGTCACATTGCCTTAAAAGGGCAGTCCACGTTCTCGTCGTGCAGAATCTAAAAGTCCCTGTTGTCCCCGTGTTTAGATATTGCGATAGCAAGGCTTAAAATCTCAACTTTCAGCCTCATATATTTAGTGATACTTGACGTATTGCGATAACAAGGTTAACAACAAAAGAAGGAATTTTTTTTTCTCCGGATGCAGAAAAAAAGGTTTGAGAATCCAGTACAGGGCGACAACCCGATAGAAAATAAAAAGGAAAGATAAAGCCATATCAACAAGATGCATGATCATAAAAACAAGTTTGGCTACAAAGTAATAGATATTAATAATAGTCGAGCGGGCAAATTATTATTCTAGTTGCAGTGTTCGAATCGGACATATGGGTAATATAAAGATCTAGGTTTAGTACAAATTTTACTTCATGCTCGTGCCTTTACCATCTTGAACAGGTCAAGCTGAAATCATAAGTCACGTAAACGCCATTTCGCCATACGACAATGAATGACAGCTCCTATCATCAAAACAAGTTTATACTTGTTCTTCCTGTCAATAATCACCTCGTAATTATCTGATGCGTCAAGATAATTGACTGTTTTCTTTTCCTTAATAAAGAAGGAAAGCATATTGTAAAGGAGGGTCAAAGGGACCCTCCTGATAGTTTTCCGACAAAAAGGAAAAAGGAGAAAAAGAAGATGAAGACATGGTCGGAAATCGTTAATACTGGTAACATTGCTCATGAATATTCACGTGAGATACATTCTCTAAACAAAATCGAACCATCAACCAGGTCCATCAACATAAACAAAAGGGGTTTGATTGTAAAGCTGTATGCATTACCCGAAACTCGGGTGTTCACCTCCACCTCCTCTTGAGGTCAAAGTCTGGATATGCCACTGGTGTGGGGGTGGGTGATGGCGATGGTGGGTGTGTGAATGCGTGTGCGTGTGTATGGAGCGGGGGTCGTTCTCGTTGATAGTGTGTTACTTACTCCCACTTTGGGAATACGAGTCGGAGAAAGGAAAGATGCATCAGTGTGTTGTATACTACCCGTCCCAGAAAGCATGCCAATACTCCTTTTACTGTATCCTGTACATACACGAATGTTAAGATGGTGATTACGGAGAAACCGGTAAGATTGATCTATAATTCATCGATCATAATTAACCCCATACTTTTAATGAATACCACATAATACACAAGGTTCTAGTTTCCCCTAAGAGAAGATCAATAAAGCAAATTATCGAATATGTAGGTTGGTAGATTTCACAACAACTTTCATCTTTATAATTGGGGTATCCGATGCCATTAACAAATCAAGCAATATAAAATATTTGTCTTCATTCTCAAACTTAAATGTACTCTGTAAACCTATTTTGTTCCATAGATACTTATTAATATTCGTTATTTGTATAATTAGTTTCTTTTATAAACTGTAATAC